CCTGCAGTACCAGGACGACGACGGCACCTACTGGCTCGACGTCTCCGTCCGCCACCCTGCAGCCGGCACGCAGGCCGAGCTGCGGCTGGCCGCGCGCCGGGACGGCGAGGCCAGCAGGCGCGGCGAGCGGGAGAAGCACGCCCGCTACCCCGGCGACCGGCTGACGCCCTTCGTCCTCGAGGCGGGGGGGCGGCTCGGCGCCGAGGGCCGCCTCTGGCTGCTAGGGCAGGTGCGGCGCTTGCCCGAAGACGAGCAGCAACGCGAGCTGGCGCGGGCCTACAAGGTCTTGTCCTGCGGCCTGCAGGTGGCAACAGCGCGCCAGCTCCGGAAGGCGGCCGGCTTGCGCTAAGCGGCGAGCCGCCGGCTAGCGGGCGGAGCCGCCGCGGCGGCGGCAGCAGCGCGGCTCGACACCGGTTAGCGAGGCCGCCGAGCTGACTGACGCGCTGGCGCGGCGGGGCTAGCGCAGGGCGGCGCCGACAGCCGCTTGGGGCCGACGCGGAGCTGGCGGCGACCCCAGCAGCCCGTGTCGGCCCACGGGGGCCACTGGAGACGCTGGAGGGGCGAGCGGCGGCTCGGGCGGCGGCCGGCGGCTGGCTGCCGCGCGCCGCGGCCAGGCGACCTTCAGCCGCAGCGCGCTGCCGGGGCGCGCGGCCGTGGCCGGTCGAGGTGTTCTATTTGGACTACCAGAAGTATCTATGGTGCTTCCGCCCTCTCATACCACCCTCTGGTGAGGGTCGCGCGGATTTTTACGAGGCTTCGACAGACTCGCCTCCTCCTCCTCCTCCTCCTCCTCCTCCTCCTCCTCCTCCTCCTCCTCCTCCTCCTCCTCCTCCTCCTCCTCCTCCTCCAGCGAGAGCGAGGGGGGGCCGGCCCCCCCTCGGAGGGCGGCCGAGGCTTCTCGGAGGCCCTCCCGGCCTCTCGAGGAGCCGCCCCGGTCCTCGGAGAGCGAGCTCCGAGGCAGCTCGCTCTTCTGCCCCGTCCGAGCTGAGGCCCGCCCCCTCGGCCTTCCCCCCCCCTTGGCGCCCCCGTGGGCGGCCGGAAGAGGAGGAGGAGGAGGAGGAGGAGGAGGAGGAGGAGGAGGAGGAGGAGGAGGAGGGAGGAGGAGGGAGGAGGAGAGGAGGAGGAGGAGGGAGGAGGGAGGAGGAGGAGGAGGAGGAGGAGGAGGGAGGAGGAGGAGAGGAGGAGGAGGAGGAGGGAGGAGGAGGATTGGCTGGCCCCCGCGGTGGGGGAACCAAAAACTACCGACACCGCCGATCCACGGACCTCTCCCCAGGCGCGCTCTGCCCAGGAACTCGAAGCGGATCCAGCGGCGGCGAAGGCATCCCGGGAGGCCCAACAAAGAGGCGAGGTCGAGGCAGGGGTGGCGGTATCGGTGCGTAGCTTTTCCTCCTCTGACGTGAGCGCTGACCCCTGAGACGTGAGCCCTGGCCTCTCACTCTCTCGTTCTCTGTGCCCGGGCCGCGGCGCGCGGGGCGTGCGCGGCCATCGTCGCGCACCCCGTTCGGGCCGGGCGAAAGGGGGGGATAGCAAAGGGGGGGGGTGAGAATCAGCTCATGTAGCTGATTTTCCTGGCGCCTCCCAGCGCCGGGAGGCCCCCATGTATCAAGGAATGGGCCCAGCGGCGGGGCCGAAACCAGCTGCATGCAGCAGATTTCGTAACACCCCCTTTCCCTATCCCCCCCTTTCGTTCGGCCCGACCCGTGAGGGCGAGCCAGGACTCGCCCGCGCATGCTGGCTCCCTGCAGGCGGGAGCGACGGGGGCCCGAGCACCAGTCGTAAATACTGCAGTCAGTATATGGCCGTCCGTGCCACGGTCGTTGTTCCTCATGAGCGCTCCTTGCATACAGAACAGCACGATCGAAAAAAACACACTACGCTGCTCGACGGTGTCAGCTCGCGTGGCCAGCGTCGGCTGTTGCTGCCAAGAGAACAATGGAAGCCGTCGGGCAAAGAGGGCACAATGGTGGGGGGGGCCATACTTGTACACCCTGAGCTCTGACGACATTGGCCCGTGCCACGGTGGCGGTGTCAAGAGGACTCCTGCTCCACACCCCCTCCTCCTGGCGCGGCGACGCTGTCTGTCAAGCGCGCAGCCACGCCCCCTGAGTACGAGGTGCAGCGTGGTGTAGATGTGGTGGACCACTCAGGGGGCTTCACAAAGGGCTGGCGGAGGAGAGCCGGGAGGGGGAGATGGGGATGCCCGCAGAGGGGGGGCCGGGAGGAGAGACCTCGGAGGAGACCTGCGTGAATGCTGCTGCCCGCACGCCGCTCTTCGACGCAGCCCTAAGGAGGAGGCAGCGGTAGAGGGAGGAGGAGGAGGAGGAGGAGGAGGAGGAGGAGGAGGAGGAGGAGGAGGAGCGAGCACTTATGGTCTGACGAAGTGCCTCTAACCAATTGCAGCAGCCAGAGCACTCTAAATGGAAGATTGCGGACCACGCGCTCTAGAACCACTTTAGGGGCTCGAGAAATCTGTGGGGCCGAGGAGGAGGCTCTCATCCCGTCATTCAGCGCCGCCCTGGCCGCCCAGGCGGGCGACGAGGATCTATGGCAGATCCAACGCCGCGTCACCCAGACAGCGCCGCAGACCAACAGCTAACACAGGGAGGAGGGTATCTGGATGAGGGGAGAGGGGCGGTGCGCGAGGGGAAGCGATCATGCCAGGGGCTGGACGGAGACAATTGCAAGAGGAAAGGTGGGCTAGGAGGAAGGGGTGGAAGGAGAAACTAGCATGCCAGGACTGGTTTGGAGGGCAGGGGGCCCGGACTCATAAACTTCCTGACGCATACATACCCTCCGCTTCACTCCCCAGGGCCAGGCATTGCATGCAGCACCTCTTCCCCGAACAGGGTAAGATGGTTTTTGTTCGACCCGCGCTTTATGGGTGGCCGCGCACGCGAAGAAGTTGGGCGTGTCGGCGACCGAGGGGCACGGAGGCCCATAAGCGGGAAAGCCACAAAGGCAACGGCGGGATGAATCTATGTTCTTGTTAGATCTGGTGAGCTGCAAACAGGGGCCAGAAATTGAAAGCATCAGCTTTTTTTCTCGTCTGAGAGAGGCACCGAGAGGCATTCAAGAGGCCACTGGGCCATGATCCAGGCACGGTGGCAGGCCGGCTGGAGGGCCACTCGATCCGCAGCCCCCTGCTCTCGTCACAGGTGTGCCTGGCGTGCCGAGTTCTTTCCTGTACGAACCGCTCCCTCAACAACCCACAAGCGAGGTTCATCTGCCTCCAGGGCGCCCCTAGATGGGATGGGTTCCAAGACTGTCTAGATGGCCCCCGAGATGGTCTCAATAAGCCTCGAGCGCTGCCAAGATGGCCCCAGCACTGCCCAGGGATGCCCTGCCAGACGGCCTGACCCCCCCAAGCGCCCCAAGAGAGAGCTCCAAGGGCGACTCCAGACAACCAAACGCACTGATGCTCCATGTGTGGTTCAACGGTTTTGGGACTCTCGCCTTCCTGGGCTCCCGACGTTCCTAGGAAAAGCCCTCGAGCGCCCAAAGAGAGACCCACGAATGCCAGGACAGATCCCCAAGACGGCCTCCGAAGTCCAAAACGCCCCTCAGGAGCCCCCGGAAGCCCCCAAGAGGCCCTTCAGAGGCCCCTCAAAGGCCCGAAAAAGGTTTCCAGGATGTAGGACCCAAGATGGCCTCAAGAGGCCTCCGTTTCCGCCTCCATCCTTCTCCTCCCTCTGCCACTCCTTTCTCTTCCTCTCCCAAGTGTTTCCCCAAGGGGGTCCACAATGTCTGGGGGAACACATCACCCAATCGTTTGCCCGCATGTTGGCCAAACGTTGGGCAGCATGGACGTTTCCAAAGGGAGTGTGCAGCGTTGATTCGCCGTAGGCGTCTTCGAGTCGCCACCGTGCCCCATGGCACGTTGAGGCGTAGTAGAATGAATATCAAGGGCTCGCTGATAGGATTTCTGCACGTCACCTGGGCTCCCCACCCTCTAGTCGTGCACTGTCGCATGCGCCGCCCCCCCTCTGCTGAGACTCAGATGGGCGGCCCGAAACCTTCCCCGAGGCTTGCCAGACCTTCCAACACGGTCAAGGAAGGCCACCAAGGCCGCCAAGATGGCCCAACATTGCCTCAATCAGCTGCCCAGCAACCCCCAGGAAGATCCAAAGAGGTAGCACAGAGGCTCGAAGTGGCTTCCCAAACACGGGAGTCAGTCTGAGCGCCACGCGTCTATCGGCGCAATCTGTTCCCAAGAAGGCCTCGGCTGAGCCGAAGGGAAACCAGCCGAGCCCAACGAGGGCCTCAAGAGCCCCCGAGGGCAGCCGAGGACAGCCCCGAAAGAGCTTCCAAGGCATCAAAGACTCCCAAGATGGTCGAGAGTGGCCCAGGACGGTCCAGGGCAGCCCCAAGTCAGCCCAACAGTCGGGTGTTGCCAGAAGTGCCCCTGGCCCAAGGTGCCCCCAGCTTGTCGCTCCATTTTGGAGCCCCTATAGGGCCCTCTGGGCCTCGTGAGTGGCGCTCTGGAGGCCCTGGGGGCCTACTTGGCCATGCTGGGGGCGCCCTGGGCAAGGGGCACTTCTAACAACACCCGAGACAGGGACCCCCGGGGGCCCAGCGGGCGCCCGGGTCAGCCCGAGCCGGCCCGGGGAACCCCCTTTGGGCACCTCGAGGAAGCGACGCTGGCACTGACACGTGCTGCGGCCTCTCCTGTGCGGCGCGCTCGCAAGCGTCGCCACGCCGAGCGTGCTGCGCCGGCACGGTGGCGGGGCCTGCCGCAGGCAGCTGGATGCAATCAACGCTCACGCAAAATTCAGAATTGCCCGGTGTGAGTCGGGGCTTCGTAAACGGGGGCTTAGCTAAACGGGGGCTTAGGCATTTCCATGTATCCCCGCTTACTGTACCCCCGTCTATGGCGCCCAGGACCCCCTAAATTGGGGCATAGCCAAACGCGGAAATCGGCGTTCCCCGTGCCCCCGTTTGCTGTGCCCCCGTCTCTGAGAATCAGTTGCAACCCACCGGGGCTTCGATGTCGCCAGGCACACTCAGTCGCTGCCGTCGGATTGCCCAGAGCCATCTTCGTCCGCGTCATCGCCGTCCACATTTGGCAGCCAGCCCAAAGACTTCTGCCTGAGCTGATGTATCCCTAGCTTTCTCTTCGAGGCTGCGACTGCAAGAACCTCATGGTTACAGGCGTGCACCCCACCAACGACGAATAGAGCCAACAACAACACTACAAAATTGGTCGCGATGACAGGCCACGAACTTGATATCGGCGTTCCCTTCCGCCCCAGGCCTCCCGGGTCCGCCACATCTGTATCCAGGCTGGTCACCACCTGCGCCTGAAACCACCATGTGATGAAATCCACGAGCCAATAATTCATCAGGCACGCCGTTGCCTTTTCCGCGTTCCCCTTGCCCATGTCGTAGAAGCTGTTGTCGGGCGTGGTTGCCGCAAGCAAACAGGCGGCCCCCAGGGCGACCGCCAGCCAACACAGGAACAATGCCATCCCGATGTAGTAAGACGACGCCAACACGCCGCCAACATAGCTGTCCGCCGACGCGCCTTGCCGCGGCCAGGCCGCATCCGTGCCCGGCAGTTCAGCGTTTCTGCTTCGTGCGACGCCACGGCCAGGTCCCCGGTGGCATCGAAGCCACACTGCGTCGACACGCTGGGTCGAGCCACTGTGGCCCTCTGAGAACGAAGCCCTGCCCCCCCCCCACGGCCTTCCCACACAAAACCCCCACCCCCAGTCACCCCGCCCAAAGCAAGGGGGCGGAGATGCGCGGACGCAGGCAGGATACACGACCGTCCATCCGAAATCAACGGTTGCGAAAGCCCACGTGTAGACAACTACATACTGCTGGCATTGAAGGTGCACATGCTGGAACGGTTCCAGCAGAGACGGATTGTCCATCTGGTTAGGCAACGTGGACGTCAAGGAACACCAAGCGGCAGTCGTCATCACTACAATTCCTACGAAGAGTGCGAGCATTTCTGGCCATGCTGGGATAGGGTCGGCAGTATTGACTGGACCTGCCATTGTAAACAAGACGATCCTGATAGTGTAGTACATGGCCTTCCCCGCGCCTGACATGGCGGCCAAGTACAGGCACTGCAGAAAAAACGTTGCCCACGATGCATCAGGGTCCGCAGCATCATTGAGCGACCGCACAACCCGTCCAAGGTACAAGAGCATAGAGAACACAATCACAAAGACAACAAAACTCGCAAAGAACGCAGAAGTGGCTTCACCCTTGTTCGCTGCAGCAGGGTCCCAGTGGCAGTAGTTGTAAATTGCTTGGAGGTAAGATGGAATCAAAACGACAGTAGGGACCCTCAAGAACCACGGCAAGCCAGTCAGCATGGTACCGTAGACGAGCCGCATAATGCTATCTTCGCCTTCCTTCCTGTAGAGCGACAGGCCAATCATCCGGAGGATCGAAACCATCAAAACACACAATACCATCGATGCCTGCCCCAGCATTATGGGCCCTGAACTCGGTCCCAAGGCTTTCCCAGCAAGCCCGTTTGCGAAACTCGTGATCGTCGCCGCCATGACCATCATGTTGACATTGTCGTTGAAAAAGTCAACGAAATTGGGGCAAAGCCCCGGCGTCCTCCTGGTGTCCTCCCGCGGCTCTGGGGCATCATTTGGAGGCCTCCCACATTGGGTCCGAGTATAGATGGGGTCGGAGGATCGCGCCCCGCGTCGCCGACGCATCGGCGACGTCGGCGATGCTCTGGCGCCGTCAGCGTGGAGAGAGGGGGGATCCACACGGATCTCCGTCGCCGATGCGTCGACGACGCCAGAGACACGAACCAACAGCATGAGCTGAAGCTTTTGCAGTTCCACGCGGAGTTCTTGGATCGGCGCTGGGCCCGCCGCCACGGCGCGAGGATCGCGCCAGGAAGCCGCCCTGGAGAGGCGCCGCCGGGGAGGCCGTGCGCCGATCCGAGACACATCCGCGCGGACCTCCGAGCACTCCTGGGTCTGGCCATCGCTGGAACGTCCGTTCCCTGTGTTATTGTTCGGTTCCGTGCCTGGCCTTTTCGCCAAATGATCAAGGATGCTGCTCGATGGTCCTCGCCGAAGGAACAATGCACACGTCCGAGCGATGCCGAGGGGACTGCTGCATGCTCGTCTTCGAGCTGCGGCCCGGCACTCCGAGGCCGTCTGCTCGGCCCCCACCTGGGAGGCCCGGATCGTGGCCGCGCTCCTTGGCGTTGCGGTCCTGTTGGAGGCGGCCGGGGGGTCTGAACTGGTCGGTTGGGGCCCCAGAGAAACGGCCAGCAGGGGAGAGGGAGCCAAATCCGCTCAAAATCGGTGCCCAGAACCCTCCTGGGGTCCATCTGGTGCAGAATTTCACTCCAGATCCGTTTCTGACAGTCCTGGGGCCCGAAAACGGCCCCAAGAGTCCGAGAAAGGGAAACACAACTGTTGAACCCAGAACCTCGAACCTGTCCCCCCATCCTGCTCGACGGAGCCAATGCTGGGCCACCTCAGACCCCCAGCCGGCTCGAACACTCCTGCTCCTCCGCGC